ATTCTATGATTTCCTTATCGTCTATATTTGTAACAACTTCTTTAAATATACAATACAAACTAAAAGTCTATATATAAGCTTCAATATATAATTTTTCTATTTGAACTAATCGCCAATTTGATCCTCATCTTAATATTTCCTCAATATCTTTATCTATTTTTGAAGCTGACTGAGATATATGGTTATCTATATCATTTTCTGATAAAAGTGAATATATTTTACTTCTGTGATGACAATATATTATATTATTTTCTTTATCCTCTTTTTTTAGTGATTTGTTGACTTTTTTATAATAGCAAAGGGCAACTAATACTAACTTTATATGCTCTTTTTTATTAAGCTTGATTTTAAGAACTCTTGTAATTTCATCTTTAGCATTTGCTAATAATTGGGGTATATATAGTGATTTATTATATTTTTTATAGTTAGATATTGGTTTAATAAATTCATATCTTGGATTTTTTATAGATAGAACTAAGGCTTCCTAATTACTTAATAAATTAAAATTATCATAGGGTCTTTTTGGATCACTAACTCTAATTTGAATAAATTGAATACTAGTATCTAATATAGCATCATTTTCTATTAGATCTAATGTTTTAAGAAACTCAAATTCTTCTCGAGATAAATATTTATCTAAATCTATAGTATTCTTATTGGATAGGCCAGAAGAGTCAGAGACTTTATTAAAAGAGGAATTAGAGATTTGATACTTTGTATTAATACCTACTTCTAAATCGATTTGAGGAATTAGAATTTGATTTGTAGTAGAAATAACTTGAGGTCGACATAGAAATTTTCTATTCTGAAGATGACAAGTAAGCATCCATAACTTTTTGAATGATTTATTACATCTATTACATGTATGAACCATTTTATATATACTATATAGATACAAAAGTATAATATATTACTTATATAAAATCTTTTGTTTAATTAATTATTTGTGTATAAGACCTGGTTCAAATTTTGTGATTCTTATTGAAATTTTGTTACCATTTGCTATATATATATATTTTTTGTTATCCCTTGGTATATATAGTTACATTTTTTGTTACCCTTTTAATATATATAGGTTATATTTTTTGTGCCAATAAGTAGTGAAGAATCAGCTTTAGAATGAATTCTGCTATATTGAATAATATTGGTATCCTTTTTGTTATAAATTTGAGTAAAAGAATATGTTTTAGATATATAACAATATTGGTATACTAGTTGAGATTTTTGATGTATAAATGATAGCAAACAAGATAGCATAAATAATTGTTATCTTTTTGATATAAATTTGAGCAGAAGATTGTATTCTAGATATACAAAAAATGATATTACTATACAAGAATAATGATGCAATCACAAATTTATCATCATTTGAGTGATAACACAAAAGCAAATTTATATTCTACTATAAAAAATAATATCCTTTTTAATATAAATTTAGATAAATAAATAGGTTTTAAATAATTTTTATTAATTTGATAACACAAAAACAAAATTATATGCAAGATTGATATCAGTAACAAAAAAGTGTCTCAGAACTCCTAAAATGCCTCTACTATAGTATTTACAAGGGTAATATTTAAGGTATGTATTAATCATAAAGCTAGAGTAGTAGTTATATTATTGATCTTTTGTGATATGATGAAGTTTTTGTGTTAAGTAATGCTTTAATTAGTATATATAGTATTTTGGATTTGTTAGAGTTAGATATATAGTTATATATTGTTATTGTATTTAAAGTATTAATTTTTTTTTTTTTGAATTCGGCAGTCAGGCCACAACTTTATTGAAATTTTTGTAATACAAAAACCAACAAAGGACTTAAAATTATGTCCTATACACGGCAGTATTTTCTGTTTTCTAAAGTGTAGCTTCCCCGGTTTCTATACGGACCTGTGAATGACCTGCTATAATGAGTATTCCCCTCCCTTTACTATCTCACACATTCCAATGCTTTAATAGTAAAGATCAATGGCGTGGAACTCACAGCCCGTCCTGACTGCGATAGCAAGTTCCTAATTATTCCTCCTAAAAGTCTACCTTAAAGAAACAATAAAGAGAAACCTAACTATAACAATGAGAACTAAAAATAAAAATTGCACAGATTTAAGTGGCAACAATCTATGACTATCATCTACATAAGTAAAAACCTGCCA